AGCTTTTGGAATAATCCACCAATTTTTTAAAATTAAACACTATCTAAAGATTTGCATCGAAGCGTTTTTTTTTTATAGTGATTTTAATCACTGTCAGATATCATTATACTTGATCCATCTATACCACGTCACCACTGTGCTGTGTTTTTTTATTATTTTTAATTTAATAATAAATTAATTTAATTTTCTTCATGTAATTTTATTAATTGCCAACTAAAATTAACGAATGCATTTCAATAATATCTATGATGTTTGTTATATTATTTGATTTTTTTTACAAATATTTTATTTTATTTATTGTCAGCCTTTATTATGTTAGATGTATAAAAAATACGTTAATATATTTGTTCATGTCTAACTTAATTTTCATTTTTCAAAAATTAAATTACATTTTTTTATTATTGTGCGAGTACCATAAGTACTTGCATGTATTTTATTTCGTTTTAAAATGTAAACCCTAACTACAGTATGTTTTACTTACTAACTCCATAAAAATTTAATTATGTTTAATATTTACTCTTTATAATTTATTACTCGTGTTAAAAAAGATTGGAAAACTTACATTATCTTAATTATCTTAGCTAAGGTTATTAATTATTAATATTTAACGACATATCTTACGATAAAATTGTAAGTCACAAGAAAAAAATATATAAAAAAAATATTTAGAAACATATTTTTAATGAATTACACATTAGTGAAAAAAATTAATTACACATTCCTCTTCTTCTTCCTTGCCTTAATCCCAACTACTTGGAGTCGGCCACCCTTATCCTAAACTTCCACTTGACACGATCTCCTACATCATCTACGCTCACGTCAGATGTCCTCAAATCGCATTTAATAGCATCCATCCATCTTTTTTTTGGTCTTCCTCTATAGNTTGCCTTAATCCCAACTACTTGGAGTCGGCCACCCTTATCCTAAACTTCCACTTGACACGATCTCCTACATCATCTACGCTCATGTCAGATGTCCTCAAATCGCATTTAATAGCATCCATCCATCTTTTTTTTGGTCTTCCTCTATAGCTTCTTCCTTTAACATTATTTCTATAACTGTTCTTACAGCTTCCGATTCTTCTCTCCTCATAACATGACCAAACCATCTAAGTCTAATTTCTATCATCTTATCCACGATGTACGCTACACCTATACTCCCTCTTATATACTCGTTCCTTATCCTATCTTCTCTAGTCACTCCACTCATCCATCTAAACATTCTCATCTCTGCTACACTCATTCATTCTCTGCTCTACTTTCTTATGAACACTCTGAACCATACATCATAGCTGGCCTTATTACTGTCTTGTAGAATTTATCTTTCAGCTTCATTGGAATTCTTTTATCGCATAAAACGCCAAACGCTTCTCTTATCTTCAACCACCCGCACTAAATCCTGTGTCTTACATCTTCGTCAATACCACTGCTCTTTTGCACAACTAATCCTAAATGCTTTTTTAGATACCTTGTCTCATTTCTTATTCTTTTATCTATTACCTTTTCCCAAATGTTCATACTATGACTCATAAGCTTTATGCCTCTATAATTTCCACACTCCTGTAAGTCTCCACTCCTTTACCTTTAAATATCGGTACCACAATACTATTCCTTCATTCATTTGGAACTTTCCCTTCTGATAAGATTTTATTTAGAAGTTCCTTCAACTACCTTATGCTAACACTACCTATCATTTTCCATACTTCTACTGGCACCTCATCTGGTTCTACTGCTTTATTCTCTATTACGGTACTGGAATAACGTGATAAAAACATACAATAAGCAAAATAACATTTAAATTTCGAAATATCCATAAATATAAACATACAATTTTGTACTTAGCTCATTGATTTCTTAAAACAAATTTATATCTTACATATGTATCCCTAGAACCTTATAACAATGCTAGAAGTTATAAGCCTTGATTATGACGTAAGGATTAATTAAATAAGACCAAAAAAATAAAACAAATATATTTACCCAGTGTCTTTATTTTGATTAATATTTCCAACCAACAAAGGAGAACCAATTGGGTCAATACTGCTAGAAGTTGAAGATGATGAATTTGTCGATGATGACTCTAAATGACCTCTTACTTTATTAATTATACTATGCGTGGCTGACGGCATTGACCAAATTTTAGCGTCCAATATTTCATCACCCTTCGATACTTAAAAAGCAAAATATGATAAAAATTGATAGGCAATATTAAAGATACATATTAACTCTTGTTATTAAAGTAAAATTAGTACTTACAAAATTCTTCGTGTCTAGCTTTGTTGATGATTTGAAAAACATAATCACGAGATTCATCGGTAGTACAAGATAAGTCATTTGAGATGTCTTGCATTTGTGTTCGACCTTTTCTTCGTAATTTAGGAAATACTTTTCCTGGAACAATTATTAATTTAATTGAAAAGAAATTACTTTTATAGTTTTATTTTAGAACCTTTGCCTCTTTGTGGCCACAAAGGAGGATCCAATTGTCCATGTGGTAGAAGGCCATTTTCTAAACAAGTGAGGAAAGCTAACATGTGACCACCTTGAGGAAAATGTATAGGTGGTTGCTGCACACCATCCTGTGCCACTAGTACAACCGTACCACCACTGTCATTCCCTAAAAGTAAAATAAATATTCGAAATTCAACTTTTATTTAAAAATATATATTTTCTTGAATCTTTTTAAGTCAAACGTGGGTCTCGAGTAGGGTAATAGAGACACTCTTCGTAAACTGTACATGAATATGTTGATTTAAATTTTTCGAATATAATAAATAGTTTTATGTATTACATTACATAAAAACACACGCCCTTGTGACATACACTGGATCTACACACCTGATTCTAAGTATAAAAAAAATGTCTAAATAATGTTTGGCTCATGGCTGTATTCATTTTATGTCATCCTGACATTCGTTTTGATGTTATTAAAATTATTATTTTAATAAATACAACAAATATAAAGATTATATATTTTAAATCCATTACACATTTTTATAAGTGAATCTCAATTTACATTGAATAATTTAGCTTTATTATTTATTAAATAATTGAAAATTTAAATTTACATGTTATACTAGTTGAATCAGATTTGAATTTTTGAAAATCTCTTTAACAATTCAAATTTAAAGAAATGTTGTCAAAAAAGCAGCAAAATGGAATTGATTATTGTTTCTGATTTTTAAGTAAAAATTGGTCAATTTTTGTAAGAATATTGTCAAAACTAGGCTTTGCCTAATTGGGGCTACGCCCCAGACCCGGAGACCTACAAGCCTCACGCCTTCAGTGCATAACTCAACTGTTTACGAATGGAGTATCCGACTACGCTGAGGACGATAAGTGTTTTGTAGGGAAAATATTACATGAGCATCAATGTAACAAAATATTTAAAAAATTTAATTATTAAAATTAAAAAAGAGAAAATAGTAAAATGTAAAAAGTATAAGGTTGACGTTTGTTTACTGGGGTATTCACCAGGGGCGTATTTAAAAATCATTTTAGGAAGGTGTTTAATTTTTTAATTAAAATATTTTTAATTTTTTGGTAAATATAATATAGACATTTTTTTCTAGAAATCAAAGTGATTATCAAAAATAAGTCATTACAGTCATATTTCATAGATATCGGTCTAAATAAATATTGATAGCGCTGGGTCAAGGGGGGCAATCGCTCATATCCCCCTAATATACACAACAATTAATAATAACCTAATTATAAAAATTTTGTTAATATTATAAAATAATTACAGAAAAATTCATTAGGTTATTCTTTATTAAGAATAACCTGTCAAAATTAAATTTTTTATAAACTATTGTATATAAAAATGTTAATTTTAATAAAAATATTCGTTACTGAGATTTGACGTTGTATAGCAGAGTTGTCATAAATGAACCCCGAGTTTTACGATAAATTCATAGACTTATACATCATATATGAAATAAATAAGATTACTGTACTTTCCTGATAATGTATGTACAAAATTATATACGTACTTATAACCATAGTGAAATTTATATATAATTTATCGCAAAAATGAGCCAATCCTTATTTAAAACATTCGTGTTTTAAAAAAACTCGCGAACGGTAAAAAATGAACGGATTAAATTAATTTTTTTATGATATCTTAGAAATGTCTTTGGGTGGATTTAATGAAAATTTCAAATCTTAAGTCATTAAACGCTGGCGAGCGTTTTTCTCAAATACTGTCAAAATTTTAAAACACTTGCGGGCAAACGAAAAAAATTTTCCGACCTTTGTCAATAATTTTTCTGGAAACTCATAATCGAGTACTTTGGTTGAAAACACACTAAGTAATTTTCCCAGTTAAATGTTATTTTCCTTGTTCTATAATATAATATGATGATAACTTTCCAGGAAATTACAAAGAAGGATATTTTTAAAGTGGTAGTATGAAAATTTTAAAACCAAATTACAATATAAAATAACTACTTATAAAGACAAAGTTTATACCACTAAACACAGTAAATAATTGCTAATAAAGTTGACAAATAGAAAAAAAATCACAACATTTTATTTGATCGTCTTCTTCAAAAAGCCTTTCAGTTTTATTATTTTGTTTATCAAACTAATCATTACTGCAAAAAGATTTATTTAAATATTATTTTATTTATGGACTAAAAATATAATTGTCGAATTACTATTTCTGAGGGAGTGTTATTATAATCAAGATAAGACAATTTTTAAAAACATCTACAAAATTCTATCCGTATATATATATACGAAATACACAGCAAAGCATGTTAAACATAATATAAAATATATTCATTATGAAACATGATTGATATAAAAGGCCATAGGCTAATACATTGACAGGGTTATACAAGTAAAATAAAAACTCAAACGACAGAGATCAATCTAAGGATCCTAAATTTGATATAATCAATAGAATTCACCATGAATCAAGAGAACAGTTTGTAAAGGTGTAATTTCGAATAAAATGTTTTATTAAAAAGGAATGCCAATATTGAAAATTTGTACGACACACATTTATTATTATTTACAAACATAACAAATGAATATATTTAGGGTAAATTTTGAAATTTATGAGAATATTATCTAGCATAAATATATGAGTATAAATATATATATATATTATTCATAAATGAGTACAAATGTGTTAGTTCATTAATATTCAATAAGTTATTTGACTTAAAATATTTTATCTTGCAATACTTATTTGTCATTGTTAGTAACTGTCATTTAAAATAAAATTATAGAAAGTTTCTTCCGTATTATAGAAATTGACATACACCATGTCGTATTTTTTTATAACATTTAGAATAAAAAATAAAGTTGTTTCCAATAGTAAACTAGCAGATTGTGAGTAATGTTTTTTAACATGAAAATTGGAAAATTATTAAAAATATAAAATTCAAGAATAATTAAATTATAATATGTTAGCATAAATACCTTGTTGATGACAATGAACATACACTATTTCATCAACGTTGACATTCATAGCATAGTCCCAATATTGACTAAAACATAGAAAATTCAACATTATATTATAATTTGTAGTTAAATTGATATAGTATAGTAGACATAACTGTTATTAAAACAATAAATTTCGACCCGTAATGTATAAAGGTAATTTTAAGAAATTTAAACTAGTAATTTAAATTAAAAGAAGAAATAAATCATATGTTATACGTGTATAAATAGTGCTAGTAATTAGTAAGTAATAAATAGGTATGTCGCTTATTCTTGTTATAATTTTACATGAATTTAATTAAGCTGAAGAAGTTTTCCATAGTTGGAATGTTTTTAGATTTTTCGCAAAATATTAGTCGAAATTATACTAAACTTGCCTTATCTCAACTCAACATTATCTTAATGGTTTTATTAAAGTATCATCATTCCCTTAAATATGTAATGATTATCTTTCTCAGGATGGATCCAATATTATATGGAAGAGCTTATCAACTTAATCGCAGTAAAATATTTGATTTAATAAACATGTAAATTCAGAAAAAAATGAAACTGGGAAATATTGAAAAATTTGTCAAAACTTCTACAAACCTTCCCAGTTATTTCAATTATAAAAGTTATTATATAAAAGAAAAAACATTTTTAATAATATCAATTAATAAACTCATATAATTTAATTAACATTCTATATATATATATATATACATATAAAGAGAAATCATACCTTTTGTCATTAGTTTCAAAATCTAAGTTTTCATTTTGATATGAGCTTGGAGAATGACAATTCATCAGTTGATTAGGTGTCCACTTAATAATCAATGAGTTGGGTGTTTGATGAAGAGATAAGTAACCTGCTATTGGTTCTGTTACATCTTTCTAAATTTTCAAGAAAATATAAATAAATTATTTTTCATAATAATGGTTATTAATGGTTATTTAATATATTAAAAATACTTTAATTATATAATAAATTCAAATTCTATTTAATTCTTAAAAGGAGAGGTAAAAAAATGTAAAAAACCGTAAAATTATTATCTCTAAAAAAATGGAATATTATTATTTTATCCATGTAAATTAAAAAATATCGATAACACCACGGAAGCAACGTTAGGCTTCAATTAAATTAGTTTTATTACATCATACATATTATTACATTCAACAAAAAAAATAATATGTCTAAAATGTATATGAATCTCTAAATAATGCTAAAATATGAGTTGACTTTCAAAATGATTACTTTTGTAGATTATTCACTGACTAAAATGAAATTTAAAATACTTATGAATATTTCTATTGATAACTCAGGTTAACAATGTTATATTGAACAATCTATTATATTTCAGCTTAGTAATTTCATATTTTTTCCATTCTCAGATTTTTAAAAAATACATAAATTTGTTACTTAAAGAAATAAGACATACCGGAAGAACGAGTACATTGTTTTTTCCGTAAAGAAGCGTAACTCGGTTGTTCTGATGTAAAGACTCTACGTAATCTTTCGCAGAAATAGGTGTTTGTCTTTGAATGTCATCGTTACTGGTGGCATGCAGATTTCTACGATACTATTAAGTTAATATATTAATTATTGTAATACTAATTTAATATTCTCTTTTAATTCAAATGAAATTTATTATTTTTCTCTATTCAAAATTGACTTGGGTAAATATTTAAATATATGAAAATTTATATAACTCATAATTAATTAAAAGCTTTTGTGTCCTCTCTTCAACAAGCAATAACTCACAAGAGAGAATATTTAATAAAATGTTAAAACAATAATAAGAAAAGTGAAGAAGTTTATTAAATTTACATTGATTGGAGTACGACATGGTGGAGAAGTATGATATCCACTGGATATACGATGTCTTTGAACAAGTTCATCAGCTGGTGGATCTGTCCAAAATTGGTCGTTTGACTTTGTACGTGAATAGTCTAAGGCACAAGGACCAACTACAAACATAAATAATAAAAGATTTGAATAAACATTTATTTTAACTGTCTTTAATAATTTTGTTAATGTTTTGTAACTTACCTAAAAGAGAACTCAAAATACTACCATAATCCGGATCTGCAACCAGAGAATCTTTTTCGTAATATTTACTAGAAACATTGAACATAATATTATAGGAAACTTTTTTGAAGTATAAAAATATTAGTGAATATTTTAATCTGTTAAAATTCGTATCTAACCTGCAATTTTGTACAATGTAATCTATGATAACTGCTAAATGTTTTTCAAACAATGCTAACCGGATCCACAAGTATTTAGGTAATATGTTAGAAGGAGAAGCTAATCCACTACCCGCTGAATTTTTTTTAGTTAGAGGCGGTGGATGTACATTTGACATTGTTATACTGTTTGTTAGCGTACTATTAATTGAGGCTGCTCTGGTCGCACAACTACTCTCTCCACTAAATAAAAATAAAGATAATTTAAATTATTTTTTTTCTATGAACTTACCATCTGAAAGTTAATTATATAGATATGTGTATTATAATATATATATATATATATATATATAATATGTATTTTGTAAATTGATTAAGTGTGGCATAATTGTTGAAATGTGCATAAGCTGAGTGAAAATAAAGCTAGTTAAATATTTGGGTACCTACTTAATAACATTTTGTTTAGTAATACTAGCGTTCGTGCATAAACTCAACTTACAAGCGTGTATATAATTTTAGAAGAAGCGTGTTCTTAAATGAATAGGGTCTCAAATTTCTCTAAGCTAAATCCTTGTACACTACATTTACAAAAAAAATACTCATGCGATAACTATAATCTGTATTTAGAGGAAAAGTTTCAAGACTTCAAAATAAACAAATTTTACTTGCCTCCCTATGAAAAATCAGACCTGCTCTTTAAAATTACTATGTATAAAACATAAGTGTTTAATGTAAAATATTTTGCATAAAATTTGAATCTTATAATTTTTGTTCGCTATTTTCTTAACGCCTAAAGTAAATAAATCACAAAAATTTAATTCCTTTATTAGTTCCCTACTATAACCTAGTGTTATTTTTTAACTATATACTTATACTATAATGTGCAATTTTATTGTTATTAGCTATTGTATTTATTTTTTTTATTTATTATTTATGGATATTAATTTTCAAGTAAATAAATAAGGTTTAAATTTTGATTGGATGCTAAAAGAATTTTTAAGCTTACTTTTCACAGCCAAATAGTAACCATGACAATGAGCGCCTTCTGGCTGACGTACAAGTACACCGTAGAGAATAACTTATGGAATTTCTCCCATCTCTATGATCAAGTTCAATTAATTTCAAAAAAAAATTCTGCACAATTTTTTACTTTAAAATTAACATTTTGTAAGGGAAGAAATTTCTTAGTCATAAAAATAATTTAAAAGTACTACTGAAACTTTTTGTATAATAGGAACTAATGAACACAAATATATCTAAAAATTAGAAATTACTTCTTGTAAATAATAAAAATAATTATTTTAACATATGCAGATATAGTAGTCTATAAATACATAAATTATAATAGGCTAGTGGCGGCTTTACAAACAGACACAGAATCGCGATTAATAATTTAGAGCACGCGATCAATTTTTCTTAAAGAAAAATTTATCAATTTTAAATTATTATCAAATTCTTTATTGCTAAAATTTTAATACATTACAGTTACAATTATAAATGAACCTTATAGTATTACGTAAAGAGTGTGAAATTTTCATTTAGATTTCTCTTCTGTCTGAGATAAAATATTGCTAGTAGCCGCCACCAGGTTGAATAAAAAATGAATTGATCAAAAATATAATTATTTTTATGCCATTTCAATATTTATAAAATTGTATCAAAATTTAACGAAGTCTATTTTTAAATTTTTGGAATCTAAAATAAATCGAAGCTTACTTTTCATAGTAAAAGAGAAATGCAGTTAAAGAACGTCTTCGGTTTAGCATACATTGACAAATTATTTGTGGACCTAATGATTCCCTTCTATCTAATAATGAAAAAGATCTGAAAAACATGGTCCATTTTATTGTAATTTAAACATTGATGGAAAAAATTTTTATTTTTTAGTATTATAATATCGTATCAATATCAAACAAAATAAATTACAAGAAAGCTGTTCGATTTAATATCCAAATAAATAATACATAGTTTTTATAACTATAAATCATAAAAGTACTTATTTCTTTCTTATATAATTTTTTTAATATTTTATGATTGCGATTAAATTTATATTTTGTAATTTATGGTGTACTTAACTTAGAATATCATAAAATAAACTACTTTTTCAGTCATATGAGAATTAAAAACTTCTTAAAAATCTTAGATAAAAAAAAAAAGTACTAAATTAATTTTAAAAAATCATTAATTCATTATTATTGTGGATAATTACTTATCACTAGTGGTCCACAATGTTTTTATCTAATAAGGATTAGATGTTACTTATTTTTTAAAAATTTTTTATACATTCTAAGAATACATTAAAATCATATTTTTTATTATTTGTGTTTAATAATAAAAACAAATTTTTTTAATATTTTTCAAAATTTCAAAATAACTGCTTTTTAGAGTTTTTCTAACAAAAAAATTAATTGGTGATAAAAATTTTAGGTTTAGGTTACAAGCATTTTAATATATAAAATATTGTAGCGTGGATAAAGTATGCATCATAAGTATACATCAGTACAATATATACTAACCCGCGCTATATACATACTCTAAGTTTTCAAATACTTATAACCAATAAGCACTCGTCCTACAATTATAAATAACCCATTAAAATCTTTGTAAAAAGAGATATAATAAACGGTTGTTTTAAAATTTTGAAAAAAATTTAAATAAAATTTAAAATGTTTATATTATTAAAGAAGAAATAAAAAAATTAATTTTAACGTAGTCTAAAAATTTATAAATTAAAAAAAAAAAAAACGAAACATATAGAGTAGATGAAAAGTTATTAATCTAACAACTAATGATTAATCTTGTCAAATGTCATGGACCACCAACTATATATTAATATAATATATATGATAATATAACACATCAATCACATTTTGTTCTACTTCTGTCTTTTACATTCTTAAAAGTTATATTTCATTAAGTTCACAAAAATAATAACTAAAATGTATAATATAATTTTTTCATAAAATTTTATATCATAAAAAAGGCCATGCAATTGTATTTGATTGAGGTGTACTTAATTTATTCTAAATGTAATAAGAACAGGTAAATAAACTAAAATTGATGGTTAAAAATGTATTATAAAACAAAAAATAATACTAAAAAGCACGGTCTATTTGTTGTTCAATAATTTGTTAACATATATAATAAATGCAAATAATTTAATTTACTCTCACCTATTACTGCCATACCTATTTCATTAAAAAATTTATTAGTATTTAAAAGTTGCAAATATTTGTTTTAGAATATGCACTTTTCTAATTTATTTAAAATAATTTTTATTATCATGGAATGCAGTTCTATAATAGTAGATAGCAATCTATTTCGATATCACAAAAATCATAGACACATATAATATATAATATATAATACATATTATGTATTTATTATTTTATACGCTATAATATACTATAATTTGTAAAAAGTGTAGCATACTGTAATTTTGATAACATAATTTTAAAGAATATCAAAAATTTGCTTTAAAAATGACTCTTATGGTGATAAAAAAGATTAATTTATCCTTGATTATCGATATAATGTAAGTGAAATTAAACAAATATATATTATTTGCTATATCTCAACTTCAATTCGATTAATTTGAAACATCATTATACCAAATATACAGAGTGGTTCATAAAGTTTTAACAAATATAATAACTAGAGTTCGGATTTGTATGTATTTGCATAATTGTAATGAGTGTATGCATTTCGATGAGACTAAGAAATGTGGACGATTTGTGTAACACATAATGCACAGAAAAAAGTTCATTTTGCATATAAATGCATATTTTAAAGATGACTGCATATTTGAAATTTTTTGCATATTCAATCATATTTTGTATAAAAGTGGTTGTCGGACATAATCCTCAGTGAATAGTGCACTAGTGTCCATACGTCATTTTGCGGCCGCTATCCGTTAATTTATAAATTACAATTTATATTTCAATACGATTAGATTTTAAAATGCCGAAAAGTCGTAGCTCTGTATCTACTTTATTAAAAACATGGATTGCTCTTTATAATAAAACTGACCAAATCGTTTTTACCACGGACGACTCTGTAGTGTTTTTTCAATTGTGTAACAAAAAAATCGTGTGCTCAAAAAGTTTCAATTATAACAACACGTTGATGCTGCTTTTCATAATACTGCTTTAAAACGTAGAGCAAATAAAAACAAAAAACATTTATTTTTATTGTATACAAAATCGAAATCTGGTAACGTTTTTAATGAGGATCTTTAGTTCAGCTTTGGTAGTATCTAATATACCTTGGATTTAACTTCAAATTCCTGTATTGAAGAATTTTTTGTAGAAGTATACTGGTAAGCATATTCCTGACGAGAGTACACTAAAAAAAAATTATCTTGGTCCATGTTATGATGTTATTATTTCAATAAGAGAAGTTATTGAGAACTCAAATATTTGGATCGCTGTTGACGAAACAACTGATACAAAGGGCCACTACATAGTAAATTTAATAGTTGGCGTTTTAAAACATAATACACCGGTCAACCCTTTCTTTTAGCATCTAAAGAACTGCCTAAAAGTAATTACTCTACAGTATCTCGGTTCATTATGTAATATTATATTATTACTTATAATATTAACATATAATATAATGTTATCATTTGTACATGCATGTCACATATTATGATTATACAAGGTCACCATAACAGGGTTCTCTTATTTAAAATACAAAATAACCAGTTAATTATGGGATAAAATCTACTTATTGTAGAGATAATTAAGTAACGCCTACACGCAGGGCCTTCATTATAATTAACCAATTAGAATATGAAGCCTCACCTTCCAGGATCAAGGTAGGGATCGCTGGGCTACCGCCTTCAGACTATAAAAAACCATCTTTCCTGTCTAAACCAATTCTTTCAGCGATTATAAAATACATAAAATCTACGACACTCTACTCAAGATTTCACTCTCCGGGACTTAGTCGATTTTTTAATTAATTTGGACTTAGAATATTTTTCTTTAAAACTAAATGACACTTAGAAATTTTAAGGTGCATTTTGTTTTGATGAATCTTTTAATTTAATTTAATTTGTTAATTATATAATAATGTTTAATTTTCTTGTTGTTGGAATAAATATCAAATAATATTTTTTAAAGATTAAATCTTTTTTAATTAATTTATTTTAATAATAAATCCAACCCAACTTTAGATTTTTATTTAATAGTAAAAATTTATTGTGACCTTTTCTTACTGGGTAGTTAGTCTCGTCGCTAATGTCTTTGTTCTAACAAACATCGCGCCGGCAGACAGATCTAAAAGTCACAATCTACTAAATTTCATTTGAAATTTAAATTTATTTAATGATAATTTTATTTGACCAAGTGTATTGCAATCCTATACTTATTGGGTAGCTAGTATTGTCGCTAATGTCTTTGTTTTAACAAACATCGCGCCGGCAGACAACGCAGAGAAACTTGCACGTATATTTGCAGTGTTTAATTTTTATCTTGATGATTATTGTGACGCATCCTTTCAAGGCGTTAGCGCCGGGACACTTTAGGCCACCACAATTACGCTTTGATAAATCTTTTACATAGATATAAGTATTTTTGAATCGTATTTTAGCCAGACCATAGGAAGATTTAAGAAATATTTATGTCGATCTCTCAATAAAATATACTCTTTCAAAAAAAAAAAAACAAACGTAAAAAAGTTAATAAGAACAGATTATAATTATATTTCTAATAAAATATAGAGTGTTTAGCATCTTTTACAAGTAAGATCTGTCATAAACTTTGTGTAGTTATATCATATTATTTAAATTTTGAATCATTTTTGTAAGTAATTGTATTGACTAATTTAATACCAAAATCAACATTACTTAAAATATTATTGCATCACATAGGACGTAAGGTAAGTACAATTTAACTTATGCTTTCCAACCTCCAACAATCAATTGCCTAATAAATCTTTAATAAAAATTAAATAGGAGAATTAAATGATTAATGAGATAATTAATATATTGAATAAAATTATATGAATTCAAATAATTTATTATTCCAAACAATTCCTCGATCAAATTAATTCTATTTCTATTATATTATATTCTATTATTCTGATATAATTTTCTATTATATTCTAATCTATTCTAACATCATTTTTTTTTATATATTTGTAATCATATTTATTTACCATAATATGGTAAATAAAGATATTATCTTTCTATATTTTTATTTTTGGTTTATTACAAGTGGCGCTCAACTAGTAGCTTTGAAATCCCTGAGTTTATCATTTTTATCATGATTTTATTAATGATGTATACTTTATTCTTCTTCAATCGTCAGCAAGTGTAGAGTTGTAAGAAAATGTTCAATTTGCCAACAATAAAAAATGATTTAGTATTTATAAAAATTAACTTTTCTGGACTCATTCGGGGAATTACAAATTTAGAAGATACTAAATTAACTTTATTAGAATCACTAGAGATTATGGAAAATATTATTTGAGAACTCTCAAATATACAGGGTGACAAAGGTTCTATTATAAAAACGGTAGCACAGTGGGGTCGAGGCACAGTGTAGACAAGGCATAGATATGACAAGTATAAATGATATTTGACAGTGATTAAAATCACTATCATAAGAAACGCTTCGATGCAAATCTGTAGATAGTGTTTAATTTTGAGAAATTGGTGGATTATTGCAAAAGCAACATCAACTCTTATTTCTTTGATTATATCCTAATTAGTAATTCTTTGATTTTAAAATATAATATATGAATAAATACTAATTATAATTATTAAATTTAGTATGAAAATAAAAAAGTAAAAAAAATTTAATAAGTTTAATTTCTTATGTCTTATGACCTTTATTCTATGTCAATTAAATTATATAATATTCATAAAAGTCAATATATTCACCTAATAAGATATTTTAAAATAAAATAAAATACAAAACCTAGAATTTTAATAGAAAAATAGCATATTTTTGATTGAATACGGTAGCCATTTGCGCATAGAAGATAGGTCGTCGAGACAAATTTTTTTTTTCATTTTATAGTACATAAAATAAGCTTTAATTTGATATATGTTTAAAGGACGCAGTATTTCCGGAACAATTTTAAAAGTTAAGTTGAAAAAGTTCTATTTTTTATACAATATGTCAAGTTTTGAACGCCCCCTATATATGGGAAAATTGTCCAATTTTAATAAAAAGTATGTCAAATGAAAGATGTACTTATAATGAATTTAGAAAAAAAAAATTTGTGCTGATAATTACATTTTTCGAAAAGTTATAGCACTTTTAACTTGAATATTTAAAATTGAAAATCGAAAATTTTAAATACAAAAATAGCGTTTTTTTAATTAAGGCAGCCGTTTACATGTAGAAGATAAAGTGTCGGGACAAATTTTTTTTTTTTATTTTGTAGTATTTGATATAAGCTTTAATTTTATATATGTTTAAAGGACGCAGTATTTCCGGAACCTTTTCAAAAATTAAGTTGAAAAAGTTAGTTTTTGTAAAAAAGTTGCTATTTTAAATCCCCCCAATGAGCAGGTCAAGTGTTAGATTTTCAAAAAAATGATATCAAATGAAAGGGAAATATCTAAGGTTTTAGTATAAAAATAAAATTATGTTGATTTGTTGATTTTTGAAAAAGTTATGAAAGTTTTAAGAAAAAAAAGACAAAATTTACCGATTTTTAAATTTGTAATTTTTTTGGATATTTCCCCCAATTGCGGGGAACAAGGGAAAATTTTTCAATTTTTAAGGATAATGTCTCCAACTACATACGATTTGTGATCTTTTGACGTAGTGTTGATAGAAATCGGTCCAGTGAGAGCTGAGAAAAAGTGGCAACAGACATAAAAAAAAAAAAAAAACATCATAGTAAAATTAATACCTTCTCAGCTTCGCATCGAAGCTAAAAACTAAAATATCTCAATTATATCAGAAAAATAAAGCGTTTCAAGTAATGGAACAAATTGGTCTAATTATATCAGGTAACAATGAAATACAACTTCCAGAATACTTCAACCCTAGTTCTAGTGCCAATATGAGTATGCACCACTGACATCAGTAGATATGGAAAGATCCTTTAGTCTTTATAAATATATACTATGTGATAGAAAAACAAGCGTAAGAGCATATTTTTGCATATTATTAAAAAAATAAGAGCATATCTAATACATATTTTGAAGTTTATTGATGCATAAATGGACACTATTTTAGGCTTTTTGAGTGCATACAAATCCGGGCTCTAATAATAACTTTAAATCCAAAAAATATTTTACGTTATACAGTTTTAGACTACTTTAAAATCATATTTTTTCGAATTAGAAAAATAATAAAAAATATGATTTTAACAAAGTTCTAAATTGTAAAAACTAATTTAAAAAGAATAATGTAAAATATTTATTGTATCAGAAGCTATGTTAAAATATATTAGATATATCAAAATATCGGGGGACATTCTGTATAGGATTAATGTTCGAGTAGCTTGAGTTTAGAGTAGATAAACATTATAGGCGCGATTAGAAAGTAAGCCTAATAATATATAGCTACATAAGAGAATAAGCCATAAAGGCTTAGTCCTTAATTTACGAAAAATAATGAATTTAACATTTCAGTTATTTTTCGGTGTTTTTAAGTACCTATATAAAAATATATTTTAATCGTCTACAATTATATTTTCTATAGAGTAACCTAGGACAAGATGACTTATAATTAATAAATAATTTTAATTTTTCTATATAGTCAAACTGTTTAGTGTTTATCTCAATTTACTTATGATTAAAATAAATCAATAAACACAATAATGCTTGACCATAATTTAATATCTAAATAATTTATTGATAACATAGCTTGACAAAATTTGCTTTATGAATTTTTTTTTTGTTTCTAATAGGTTTTTTATTCTGATTCTAAGTGCCCCAATTTATTTTTATTGTAAGTTTTTAAATCACATTTTGAGCATTTATAAAACTACGGATATTTCACAAAAATGCTGATTAACAAAAAAATGTATGTTTCATTACTCTTAATTATATTTATAGTATCATTATAATAATTTACACAAATTTTAAATTATTTCAATATTTAGACGATTTATAATGATTTTTTCTTTTTCTACAACAGTTAATGAAATAGTTGAAATTTCAAAATATATTTTTTAACATTCTACTGCATAAAATACATAAGATTTTTCTATAACAGATTTTATTATGTTTAAAGTGTTTGACAAAAAAAAAAAGCATCATTACAATTATTTATTAAGTTTTTTTCACATTTATAACGATTACGTCACATAAATCTGACGAAATAAACAATATTTTAGTGTTTTTTGAATCTACATAACATTTTTTATCGATTTATGAAATAATAATAACAAAAACATGAATAATAAAAAAGTTATAGTAAATAATTCAGCTTAACCATTTTTAAAAATGCAATAAACTCAACTTTTAAAGTCCATATCAAAGGTCAAATTCAACTGAATTATTTCAAAGTTTGCGTAAATAATCATTATAATATTAAAAATACACTTAAGAGATAATATAAAAAGACTTTTTTTAATTTTTGTGAAAACCCCTATCAATTCCATAACGCAAATTTTGTTGATCTATGTAATAAGTCATGTTACTCTATGCTTCATCTTGCCCAAGTTACCTGATAATACTTTCCATTCAACATTCACTAACTTGTATACCATTAAGTAAGATTAAAAAATAATACAGTTCCATAAAAAGCATTTAAATTTGATCTAATTGCAATTGCAGACAATAAACACAAACAAAACAAATATATTATGATTTTAAAAACATTTTTAAATTACCTTCAAATTATTATTATTATTATAGTTAATATCTTTATTTATATGCCTAATCCGAAATTTTATGATAAATTTGGAAACTAAAGGAAATTATAAAATAATTTAGAGCAACGATGTATTCCTGGTCAAACTGTCCAGACCACATTTATTATATAGTTTAAAAATAATTTATAAGCATTTATTACCATAATTATTATGATAATAATTATTTTATTCAATTTTTAAACTCTATTTTTTACAAGCGTTGTACGAAATAAGATTGACGGGAAATTTTAAAAATAGGACAAACTTTTTTAGACTAATGAATAAAATGACACATAAAAAAACAATTAAAAATAAAATGTTACAGTTAAAATTTTAGAAAAAATATAGTTTTATCTAAAAAAATGATAGTTTCTATTGATAAATCGATAATCTAATACAGTATTTTCTACTGATAGATAAACAATAAGGAATTAAAAATATTTAAGCTGTAAAAAAGGCCTTTAATATTTGTTTATTAATTTAAGCTTCCAAATATTCCTAGTTACGTCTCTGCACATACATTTATTTAACAAAAATTTTTCAAATAAAATAATTATAAAATCATGCCAAAGTAAAAATGTTTTATTTTTTTGAATATACAGATTGCATTATCGCTAAGTTAAATATATAGGTAAGCAATAGTTTATAGAACAGATTTGTCATTGTTAATACTTAATCATGCAAGTTATTAACATTCAATAACTACAAATATTATCGAATACAACATTAAAATTATGAAATTAATGTTTAAGACTAATAAGTTATTGTTTTATAGCAATTTTCAATTTTTAAATAAGGTAGGTCTTCTTCTTTTTCCTTGCCTTAATCCTAACTATTTGGGTACCCACACCCAAAGAAAAACCTCAATCAAAATTGAAAGAGAAATTTTATCAAGGGTTTATGATAATGTTTTATTAATACGAACAAAATAACTATTCTTATAAATAATTATTATTCAAGACAAGAAAAAAAAATATCATATTGATAAATATATCATTGATTCAATAGTAATGATATATTTATCAAATTGAACAATGAATTTATTATATAGATCGAAGTTTTTCTCTGGGTGCACCCTTATCTTAAACTTCCACTTGACACGATCTCCCTCATCATCTACGCTCATATTAGCCGTCCTCATATCACATTCAATAACATCCCTCCATCTTTTTTTTGGTCTTCCTTCAACATAAATTTCTATAACTGTTTTTATAGCTTCCGATTCCTCTCTCCTCATAAAATGACCAAACCATCTAAGTCTATTTTCTCTCATTTTATTTATAATTGACGCTCCACCTATATACTCTCTCTTATATGTTCGTTCCTAATCCTACCTTCTCTAGTCACTCTACTCGTTCATCTAAGCAATCTCAACTCTGCTCTACTTTCTTGCCAACCGCTCAACACTCTGAACCATACAAAATGGTCTCACTTATAATTAATAATAGTTATTATTATCACTAATATGGGTAATAAATATTCCTCGCGCCGACCTTACCTAAAATCTAGGACTGTTACAGTTCTAGATTTTAGGTAAGGTAGTCGTAATAATAAATTAATGTTTTTATAGCACTTTTATTCATATTTAGTTTTATGATAGTAATTACATAACTATGTAATTGCTATATTTAATGTAAAAACTTCTAATACTATTGGTTAGGGTAAATTAAAAAAAAATAGTAACACAAATTCTACAAAAATTCAACTATTTAATAATTAACAATTTTTAAGTAATGAATAGTAGGTAAAGATTGAATATTTTTACCTGTTGGGGTCAGCATTTTCTAGTTCTTGAACCTTATGACTTATTATTGAAGCTGGTTCATAAGTTTTTCCTATTTTATGTAGTAACGCAGTTGTTGAACTGGTTTTGAATAAACCTAACGCCCTGCGTCGTAAACCTTGTGATAAACATGTTTCAACAGCAGCTTATAAAAATAAAAATAAATTTTTTAATGGAATAGATAATTTAATTAATTGTTCATACTAATTTACAATAATGTATATTAACATATAAGATCATGTCTAACCATAATAATTTAAAATTAAGAAATTAAATTTCATTACTCTGATAATATCCTTTTAATTTAAATGATTACTTCATAAATTACTAGGTTACCAAAAATTAAAAAATGAGTTAACTAGTGCAATATGTTTTTTATAGATTAATAATTTTTGAACATTTTAAAAAATATGATTAAAATGTCGATAATTACTTTTAATAATGATACTTTGTCGTAAACTCCTGTATACAATTAATTAAATAAATAAATATGAAAAAACTAACTCCTTACGATGGAACTTTATTAAAAGTCTTTAATGACACAACACTATTCTTGGAATTGACTTTTTTAGAGAGTAGTTCCAACATAAACAAAACCCAACACATTGAGGTTGCGGCATAGTAAGGACAAATATAGATGATAAACTTACAGTGATTAACATCATTATTATAAAAAACCACTTGGTTGCCAATCTATCAAATTTCATAATTATTTGTATACTTATAATTTTATAATTGCTATGTTTTTAAAAATTCTTTCAAATTGTAAAGGCTTGTTAAATTATTAGTTTTATCAAACTATTGACATTGGAAATATCTATAATCATTTGGTCCAGATTCATTTGCTAAACAACGAATTACTATACTATGGGAACATGAAGTACTAGACATTTATTTCTTATCGATGTATTTTTCTACATCATCATGGCAATATAAACATATGTTTGTTATGTCCACCTGAATTCTCTAACAACTATGTTTTCAAGTAATTTCTCTACTTGTTGAAAATATAATAAATTATTTAAACTCCAGTTTTAAAAATATTTTTTTTGTACATTTTTAACATTAAATTTCACTAATGATGACTCAGGAACACTTTTACCATATACAATCTATATTTTATCATTACGTGACGTAGTTTTTTAAATTGTCGAATTTTAACAGAAATTTTGTGTTTTTATTTTTACATCTCATAGAAAATAATTATAAAGTATTCTTAAAAATATTTAATTTGGTATAGGTTTGAAAAACGCAATCGTCCCAAAACATTTGAATAATCGAAAATTAAGTAATTTTTTTTTTGCTTTGACGGCTGATCTCTCAAAGATGAACAATTGTGAAATAAACATTTTTCTACATATTATAGCACATTTCTAATTTTAATTTGATATAGGTTTAAAGAACTATTTCATTCTGAAACAGTGTCGAAATTGAGTTGTAAAAAAATTTTTAAATACGTAGGTGGTCTCTTTTAACTCTTTACTTAGGTTTTTCATTAAATATTCTCACCAAAAACATACCAAAATAAAAGCTTATTGTCTCTAGTATACCCTATTATTATTTCATTACGATCATTTTTTTTTTTTTTTTGAAAAAGTTACATTAGTTTCAAAACGTAGAAAACAAAAATTGCAAATATTATTTTTTACTCTAGTGTAATTTTAAGATATTTTTTAAAATTATATTTAAAAATGAGGGGAATTTCATATTTTTAGCGTTGATTATTTCAACTAAATTAAATCGAAATTTGAAGTATTATTTATTATAATCGATTCACAGAGAGCTGAGAATTTTCATGGATAGATACAAAAAAATACTATATCCTTATCCAAGAAGGGAGCTAAAACTTCAAAATGTATTTAAAAATGCCCATATTACTTTTTCAATTAAAATTTTAAAAATATTCCTGAAATACCGCATCCTTCAAACACACATTTTATATAAAATGTTGTATGACATACAACAAGTTTATGAAAATATATATGTTCCGACGACTTGTCATTTACAGCCTCCAAAGTACAAAAAATATACAAGATGGTTCATAATAACCTTTCACATTTTGTTTATAAATAACTTTTGTTCAAAAAAAGGTAGGGGAACGATAAATCCGGTTCCAGATAGCTAGACGATGCCTAATTATGTTTCATTGCAATTTTATCATTATGAAGCAGTGGACGGGTGCTCAGCGTGCGTTAATCGTAAAAGTTATTATAATTATAATGACTCTTACGTGAGTGCAATTCGAGAGTTTCGTAAAAATTTTAATCTTGACGAGAAATGTGCGGTTCTATCGCGACCAACGGTGAATTTATGGATAAAAAACTTTGAGGAAAGTTGTGATGCGTGTAAAAAAAAACCGAGTGGATGAGTGTCGCCCAATATGGTGTCGTGGGGCCATACACCCAAAGAAAAACCTCAATCAAGTTTAATAGAGAAATTTTATCAAGGGTTTATGATAATGTTTTATTAATACGAACAAAATAACTATTCTTATGAATAATTATTGTTCAAGACAAGAAAAAAAATTATCATAGGTTCAATAGTCTCCAANAAATAACTATTCTTATGAATAATTATTGTTCAAGACAAGAAAAAAAATTATCATATTGATAAATATATCATAGGTTCAATAGTCTCCAGCAAGACGGAGCGACTTGCCATTCCGCGAAAGATACGATTGTACTGTTGCGAAAGCATTTCCGCCATTGACTAATTTCGCGGAACACTGAAATTTGTTGGCCGCCTAGGTCGCCTGACTTATTGGCGTGTAACTATTTTCTATGGGGATATTTGAAATCCAAAGTGTATGCGGACAAGCCCAGTACTTTGGAACAACTCAAGAACAACATTATTCGAGAATTAGGCCTTTTTGGAACAGATATGCTGGTGGAGGTGTTCGAAAACTTAAAAAACGTCTGTTTGAATGTATAAAAAATGAGGGTAATCATCTGCAAGGAATAATTTTTAAGACCTGAATTGTAAAAGTAATTTAAATATACTATCTAAAAACGGCATGTTTCTATTTTATTTTAGTACTTAAATTATCTCTGTACATGCATTCTTCGTTGGGTTATTAAAAAAACAAATGGGAAAGGTTATTATGGGCCACTNTTTCACTAATGATGACTCAGGAACACTTTTACCATATACAATCTATATTTTATCATTACGTGACGTAGTTTTTTAAATTGTCGAATTTTAACAGAAATTTTGTGTTTTTATTTTTACATCTCATAGAAAATAATTATAAAGTATTCTTAAAAATATTTAATTTGGTATAGGTTTGAAAAACGCAATCGTCCCAAAACATTTGAATAATCGAAAATTAAGTAATTTTTTTTTTGCTTTGACGGCTGATCTCTCAAAGATGAACAATTGTGAAATAAACATTTTTCTACATATTATAGCACATTTCTAATTTTAATTTGATATAGGTTTAAAGAACTATTTCATTCTGAAACAGTGTCGAAATTGAGTTGTAAAAAAATTTTTAAATACGTAGGTGGTCTCTTTTAACTCTTTACTTAGGTTTTTCATTAAATATTCTCACCAAAAACATACCAAAATAAAAGCTTATTGTCTCTAGTATACCCTATTATTATTTCATTACGATCATTTTTTTTTTTTTTTTGAAAAAGTTACATTAGTTTCAAAACGTAGAAAACAAAAATTGCAAATATTATTTTTTACTGTAGTGTAATTTTAAGATATTTTTTAAAATTATATTTAAAAATGAGGGGAATTTCATATTTTTAGCGTTGATTATTTCAACTAAATTAAATCGAAATTTGAAGTATTATTTATTATAATCGATTCACAGAGAGCTGAGAATTTTCATGGATAGATACAAAAAAATACTATATCCTTATCCAAGAAGGGAGCTAAAACTTCAAAATGTATTTAAAAATGCCCATATTACTTTTTCAATTAAAATTTTAAAAATATTCCTGAAATACCGCATCCTTCAAACACACATTTTATATAAAATGTTGTATGACATACAACAAGTTTATGAAAATATATATGTTCCGACGACTTGTCATTTACAGCCTCCAAAGTACAAAAAATATACAAGATGGTTCATAATAACCTTTCACATTTTGTTTATAAATAACTTTTGTTCAAAAAAAGGTAGGGGAACGATAAATCCGGTTCCAGATAGCTAGACGATGCCTAATTATGTTTCATTGCAATTTTATCATTATGAAGCAGTGGACGGGTGCTCAGCGTGCGTTAATCGTAAAAGTTATTATAATTATAATGACTCTTACGTGAGTGCAATTCGAGAGTTTCGTAAAAATTTTAATCTTGACGAGAAATGTGCGGTTCTATCGCGACCAACGGTGAATTTATGGATAAAAAACTTTGAGGAAAGTTGTGATGCGTGTAAAAAAAAACCGAGTGGATGAGTGTCGCCCAATATGGTGTCGTGGGGCCATACACCCAAAGAAAAACCTCAATCAAGTTTAATAGAGAAATTTTATCAAGGGTTTATGATAATGTTTTATTAATACGAACAAAATAACTATTCTTATGAATAATTATTGTTCAAGACAAGAAAAAAAATTATCATATTGATAAATATATCATAGGTTCAATAGTCTCCAGCAAGACGGAGCGACTTGCCATTCCGCGAAAGATACGATTGTACTGTTGCGAAAGCATTTCCGCCATTGACTAATTTCGCGGAACACTGAAATTTGTTGGCCGCCTAGGTCGCCTGACTTATTGGCGTGTAACTATTTTCTATGGGGATATTTGAAATCCAAAGTGTATGCGGACAAGCCCAGTACTTTGGAACAACTCAAGAACAACATTATTCGAGAATTAGGCCTTTTTGGAACAGATATGCTGGTGGAGGTGTTCGAAAACTTAAAAAACGTCTGTTTGAATGTATAAAAAATGAGGGTAATCATCTGCAAGGAATAATTTTTAAGACCTGAATTGTAAAAGTAATTTAAATATACTA